GGGGGAGGCGCTGAGGGAGAGAGGGGAGGCGCTGGTGCAGCAGGAGGAGGAGGAGTACCAGCAGGTACTGGGGAGGGGGGGGGAGGCGCTGAGGGAGAGAGGGGAGGCGCTGGTGCAGCAGGAGGAGGAGTACCAGCAGGTACTGGGGAGGGGGGAGGTGCTTGTAGAAGCGCAGCGTATGATTGGTCGGCCTGAGTCAGCAGCGCGGCGTCTGATTGGTCGGCCTGAGTCAGGCGCGCGGTTATTATTATTATTGTATAATGGATGTGATTTTCTTCTCCTCAGGCAGTGATGCAGATGTCCCAGAGGCAGAAGGCCCCACCGGCACAGGATGGACAGCCCCCTGCGGGCCCTAATGGAGAGCTGCAGTTTCACAGCGAGATGAAGAAATTAGAGCAAAGTGCGTATCGACCATCCTCGCCCCTCTGTCTGTCCTGTCTCCCTCTCTGTGTGCCCGCCCCCCTGTCTCTCTCTCTCTCTGTGCCTGTCAGGACCTGCACACCAGGACTGGACAGACTGCTGACCCCTGTCTCTGTCTCCCTCTCTGTCCAGGTGAAGACTCCCCTCTCTCCCAGGACGCTGTCGAACCCCAGAACGCCCTCGCTGCCGAGCCACCCCAAAACCAGCCTCTCCACACCTCCTAATGACCCCTCCTGCACCCCCCAAACCAGCCTCTCCTCGTATCCTAATGACCCCCCCCCCTGCACCCCCAGGTCAGCCCGGTGTGTGGTGACGGTCCTGTCGGTCTGGCCGGTTGTTTACAATGTTGCCAAAATGGAGCTCCAGTCACAGGGTGGGATTGTTTGTTCTGGTCCCCCAATAAAGACTCGAACCGTGTCTGGGTCTGTGGTTTACTGGGGCTGACTCCCCACTTCCTCCGGGGGGGCGCTGATCTCCCCCGATCAGATCACCCCCATGTTTCGCACAGGTCAGATCAGTGGAGTGTGTGTGTGTGTGCGTGTGTGTGCGTGTGAGTGTGTCTGATGGCAGACTGTGCTGTGCTCACCTGGTGCTATGTGAGTGTGTGTCCTGTGATGGACTGGCCCTGGTGTGTGTGTCCTGTGATGGACTGGCCCTGGTGTGTGTGTGTGTGTGTCTGATGGCAGACTGTGCTGTGCTCACCTGGCCCTGGTGTGTGTGTGTGTGTCCTGTGATGGACTGGCCCTGGTGTGTGTGGTACTGCAGGACTGTACCCTTCACTCAATAGGATCAGATCATTTGGCCAGATATAGTGTCTTGCATGAGGAATGTGTCTTCTCTCAGACCCCAGCTTGCTCTCCATGAGACACACAGACAGGGAGAGAAGCTGGGAGTCAGAGTGCAGGGTCAGCCATTTATACAGCACCCCTGGAGCAGTTGGGGTTCAGGGCCTTGCTCAGGGGCCCCACGGAGTAGGATTCCTCTGCTGGGCCGCGGGATTCGAACCGGCAACCTCCCAGCCACAGGGGCAGGTCCTGAGCCACAGCGCCGCCGCCCCGCGGACTAGATCCATCGCAGCGGGCGGAGAGAGGCTCAGCTCTCAGGGATCGCCTCCGGCCGAGCACGCGCACCCCCTCACGTGTTCCCAGCACCCCGCCCGCTGCCTCGCTCGAGATCTCGAGGTCGGACCCCAGTTTTGACGTTTTGCGTCAGACGCGCAGGCGCCTGCTGCACTGTTCCCTGTCCCCTGCGCCCTGCGGGTCCGGGCCTGTGGTTCGGTTCTGTGTCTCGGGTTCATCGCAAACTGTCACGTGCAGTAACACAGAGCCTGAGGTCCTGTCGCACTGACAGGCTGCAGGAACTGGGTCTCTTCAGTGTGAAGGGAGTGTCCCACACTGACAGGCTGGAGGAACTGGGTCTCTTCAGT